CAAGTGATTCTAATGCATGCTCAAGTTTTAGAACCGCTGTGCTAAGGAGTTATGCCTTTCCTCTACATGCCGTGGAATCACTAAAAGATTTTAGTAATGGAGTAATTTGAATTCTGTGGAGATCCAGAGGTCACGCTTACATATCCCTAGTTGTGTCATATAGAGTTCGGGTTACTTGGTTAATCAAACACAAGATATTCCTAAAAATCTCTTTCATATTCTTGAAAATAGTTCATTGCTTCATTCATTTACATATATTTAGTAAGACCTTACTAGGTACCAGGCATTGTCTTAGGTACTTAGAATATAACACTGAACAAAAACCAAAAATCCCAACCCCCATGGGGCTAACTTTCTAGTAGGAGGAGATGGACAATAGACAAAAATAGATAAATCATGTATAGGTGATGGAAGTGCTAGGGAGAGAAAGAGAGCAGAGAAATAGGGAGTTGGGGGTTTGGGGAAATTACGGTTTTAAGGAGGTCATGAAGGAGGTGAGGGCGCATCATGCAAATATTTGAGGAAAGAATGTTCCTCAAAGAGGTAACAGCACACGAGAACGGTGACAGCCCAGTGGTCCTGGGCAGAGTGAGCAAGGGAAAGGGAAAGATAAGGCCTGCTTTCCACATTATTTTGTTGACGGCTAGCTACCTGACTTTATTATAAACCATAAATTTAGCCAGATAAACAAGTAGATTCTATGTATTCTGATGTAAATGGAGAATTCAGTGCTCCACGTAGATAGACCTTTCATTCAATAATACTTACGGAGCATGTATGTGCCTGGCTCATGTGACTAGCCCACCAAAACTGAGACTTTCAGTCTAGAGGGGAAACAAACCTCATTACCAAGCCAACACTTGTTACAAAAAGGAAAGTACAAAGTGCCAAAGCCGTGAGCTCAGGTGCCTTTGTTGTAATCTCTGAGCAGTCAAGGAAGGCTTCCTGGAGGAAATTCTATTTCAGCCCAGGCTGGAACAGCAGCAGTGAATGGGACTGGTCAGAATAAGTGAGGTGAAGGGGTGTTTCCCAGCAAAGATGGCCTATGCACAAACCAGGAAACAAGGGTGCCTATGACCCAACCACAGAGTTAAGAAAGTACAATGTGAAAAGAACAAGAAGTACAGAATGAAGGACCTCAAACCTTTAAAGATTAAGGGCAATGGGGAAGCACTGAAGGCAGTGGCTGGCGTAATTAGTTTGGGGGTTTTAAAAGTGGCAGGACCTTATGTGGAAAATGAATGCAAAAAAGTAGTATCTCCAATGGTTTCAATGTCCTCACATTCTGATGGAGCGTCTGCATGTGAAATGCGTCATGAAGTGTTCTGCACGAATGGATAAAGTGACCAACAGCAGAGCCAAATGTTTATTCTCTGATGGCATTAACAACTGTTTTGTCTCTTAATGGCTGAATCATGAATACAAATCCCCAGATAATTCAAACAGCTGTGCAAAATATCCGTGTTGGAGCCCGACAATGGCGGGCTCTTGGTGCCGCCATGCCTCCGCCTCTCCCGCCGGCCATGTGTCAAGAGAGAGCTGTTTGTGGGCTTGGACTGCCACAGAGCACAAAGTCTCAGAAACAGAACAGAACTAATACAGCAGATCACTCGTTAGCCAAGTTAACCAACGCTCGCCGAATCCAGCGCTTAGGTCCCGAAGACAGGGATTAAGTAACAGATGTGTTGGACTGACGGTAAGCAAATAATACATTTAAGAAAAAAAATCCAGACACTCTGGCCTATTTTAATTTGGCTATGTGCTAGTTGTTAATACCATCAGAGAATAACAAGGAAATGGATAGGTTAACTGGGGGGCCCCGTACAACATCCGTGATAATAAAAAATAAACAATAAACAATGTCAAGGAATAAAGGAGCAAAACTTGCAGTGATTGCAGAACTTAAGGATGATATGCTTTCTAGACATGTTTCAGTGTGTGTCTGTGCAGAGACACTAATTCACATACAGCTCTCAGTGTAAAGCCTCAACTTTTTTCTGTGGTGCCCGTTCTCTAAGAACCTGATGAGTTTCTTTGAGAGAGAAGTAGCCGCCCAATCTAGCTCAGCTGTACTCAATCTGAGTTGCTTTCCTTCCTACAAACCCTCACTTCAAAGCAAGGAACATAATGTACAATTTTTTAATGGCTCTAGACCCAGGCACTCAGGCTCTCTGCTCTGCGCCTTACCTCAGTGTAAACACCTAATCAGGATTGCCCGCGTTTCATCAATAGCAACCAAATGCAATTGGAGAACCACAAGCCTTTGAAGTCCTCCCAGCAAAGGCCGGTTTTCTAGTCTGGGATAATGACATGCCATGATTGCTGTCTTTGTTGTATCTTTTCAGTAGAGAAGCAATTATAGGCCCCAATTTAACAGAATAGACATTACACAGCTTATGATGCTCAAAATGCAATTTCATTTGATCATTTTCTCGATTTGATTGGTATTAATAGAATGGTTCACAAAAAAAAAAAAAAAAATAGCTGGCAGAGGTTGTGTCCCATTCCACTTTCAAAGAGATAATGTAGAAGTATGCTTTACTTGCCCTGAGACTCTCACCGGGGTGATTCTGACACCCGAGTTCCGCCCAAACAGCCCGTGGATGAAAATATCGCACATCCTACACTCTCTGGGGAAAGAAAGCATAGGACAACGTATTTGTAATTTGGAAACTTTTTGCCAGAGCTATGTGTAAGGGATCGCATCCCGGGCAGTCCAACAATCGGAATCACCAGCGGCAGACTGAATTAACTAAACCAAGTCCCCTTTACAAAAGCCAGAGAAATCAAACATCCTAGCGGCGGGTCTATGATTCAGCCCAATTTTTTCTCCCAAGCTCCAGATAACATTTTTGTCCAAGACATCACCTGTGTGAGGTTTGAAAAAGGATTATTTCCTCGCCCACTTAGGCAGCCTATTTAGATTCCACCCCCCCACCACCACAACTCTCTTGGCCTTCATTCCTTGTCCAGGAAAGAGATGATTTTACTTGTAATTAAGTGGTGTTTCCTTTTAACATCATGGCAGTAAGGGATAGAGTCCTTTGCAATAACAAGGGCCAACGTTATGAAACCTAATACTTTTATAGTCCCCTCGGGTTTCTTAAACCAGTACCAGGAGAGGGACTGAGAGATGGCATCATGACACACAGTTCCTCACCTGCGGTGGCAGCATTTGTATTCCTAAACTCTCTGTTGCATAGCGGGTTACACCGTTTCATGGTGTTGGGAAGTTTTCCTTTTGCAGAGTAGGTAATCTTTCAAAATATGTTGTGTGCTCCTATTTAATTTTTTAAAAGATTTTATTTGTCAGAGAGAGAGCAGAAGCAGGGGGACAGGCGGGCAGAGGGAGAAGCAGGCTCCTTGACACAGGGCTCAATCCGAGGACCCTGGCATCATGACCTGAGCCAAAGCCAGATGCGTAACCAGCTGAGTCACCCAGGCCTCCCTAGTACTCCTATTTGAAATCAGGAAAATCCCATGATCCAATAGCACTTTTCGCCCTTGTATTTGCTATGATATTCAAACATGAAGAAGTCTCAATTTTCATTTTTTCCCATTTTCAGATCAACCTTTAAGTATCTAAACTTCCATACCATCTGTTTGCCATATCTATGCATTCGAGTGCAGCAACGATGACGGGTATTGCTTGTGGCCACAGAACCTGCATCGAGCAGTGAGGAATGAGGTTATCTTTACTGTCAGACACTGGCTTATTAATATTTAACAGATATTTCCTCCTCTCTCCCGATTGAATAGCAGTCTGCATAAATGCAAAGTAAAAGTAAGAAACAGCAGGAGAATCTGAACACAAATGTGACGAATTCTGGGGGCACCTGGGTAGCTCAGTTAGTTAAGCATCTGCCTTTGGCTCAGGTCATGATCCCGGGGTCCTGGGACCAAGCCCCACGTCGGACTCCCTGCTCAGCAGGGAACGTGCTACTCCCGCCAACCCCACTCTTGCACTCATCCTTTCTCTCTCTCTCAAGTAAAGAAATAGAATCTTTTAAAAAACAATAAAGTATAAAACTATCTGGGACCACCCCAGACCTTCTGATTTAATTGGTCTGGGATGGGACCAGGGCACTGATATTTTGTCATTCTAACATCTAACTAAAGTTGAGAACCTCCGATCTACATCATTCAGATTCACTGCCGACATTACAAATTCTGCAAGTCAAAGATGATATTTCAAAATTGCCAAATATGAGGCTCTGGAGTTAGACTGCCCTGCTCCTCCACTTACTGATTCTGGGCAAGTTCCTTAATGTCTCTGTCCCTCTGCACAAAGAGGGGTAATAGTAATACACACGCGATAAGGTTTAATACAGTAGGACTGATAGAATATCTTCGAAGTGCTTACGAAGTGACTAGCACACCATGGGCATTCCAAGTATATTAAATATTGTTATTTTATTGTGCTCATCATCTTGAAGCATAGTGGTATTTCACTATTCATTATTTCTCTTATTACACTCAGCATTTGTTGCTACATCCAGGTCAGATAACTGTTCTAAAATTGGGTCCCCTGAGTATGTACTGAACATTTTTTTTTAAAGATCTATTTATTTATTTATTTAACAGAGATCACAAGTAGGCAGAGAGGCAGGCAGAGAGAGAGAGAGAGGGAGGAAGCAGGCTCCCCACTGAGCAGAGAGCCCTATGTGGGGATCGATCCCAGGACCCTGAGAGCACGACCTGAGCCAAAGGCAGAGGCTTTAACCCACCGAGCCACCCGGGCACCCCTGTCCTGAACATTTAAACTAAATAGCAGTTTGACCTCAAAGCACCAATTCTCACATCATGCCTATAAGAAAAAACATTATTTATTCCCATTTTCCTTGGGAACAACCCAGGTCCCCAAGGACTAAGATATATCCTTGAACTGAAAATAAAATGTAACCCTGCAGGACCTCTTTCTAGAGTACACAGATGAGCCTCGTGGCTCTAAGACTTAAAACGAATCCCATTAACATGCTTTATATGTTTTACCCTCTTAGATCTCCTACCCCATCAGTGTAACTGACAAGACGTCCATTCAGAACGCCAAAGAGAGCGAAAATGCTGCCATCAATCCTGAAGACCAATGGCATCAAAGAGCCCAACAGCTAAAGGTTACCTGCTAGATTGAACTTTAAATGGGTTTCAAGGATTACTGCTAAATATGAGTAATGTTCATGACTCACTTCTTATCCCTTACAGGGTTATTCTTATGCCTGAGAGTAGTGACCCACCCTTGTGAGGGTAAGACTGGTTTCTGCCCAGATAGGACATTGCTTGTTCAGCCTGCCAAGTCTACCCATTTTTCCAAAGGTTCTAAATTTCCTAGGAGAAAAATCATCACATCACCCTTTAAACATTCAGACTTAAAGCCCCAAACAGAAGCAAGGCATGGAGAAAATGTGGGGGGGGGTGGGGGTGGGAGGAGTCACAGCTGCAGAATACTGTCCCAATCTGCACTGCTTCCAAGTCTGTTTCCTTAATGGCATCCCTAGCTGATGGGGAACACAGTTGCTGAAAATGGGTTCTCGAGAATCCCCAGAACTTCCCTGAACCCTCCTTTTGCAGGATGGGAACGCCTACTAACAAGTAATTTAGCATGAAAACATCCTTTTCTGGCCCTGGGTTTACTACTCTGACATCATAATGTGATTTTAGGGAAGATTTTTGCGAAATAGTCCCCACCAACCGTTTCTCTAGAAGAGAAAAAACACTAGCAGATGATTTCTTCTGGAACCAGTATATGGAGTTCTGTGAAGCAGTCATTTTTTTTTTTAAGATTTTATTTATTTATTTGACAGACAGAGATCACAAGTAGGCAGAGAGGCAGGAAGAGAGAGAGGGGGCAGCAGGCTCCCCATCAAGCAGAGAGCCTGACTCAGGGCTCGATCCCAGGACCCTGAGATCATGATCTGAGCCGAAGGCAGAGGCCCCAACCCACTGAGCCACCCAGGCGCCCCTGAATTTAGAAAAGAGGGCCTGCCTAGATCATCTTTTTTCCTTCTCAGTGGTTTCCAGGTCACTCTCAGAGTTGCAAAAAAAAAAGTAAATAAAAAATAAAAGAATAAAAACAGTCATTCACCCAGAGCTTCCTGAAAGCTGATGCCAGGAGGACAACCCCCAGAGGTGGAGAGGTACTGAAATGCCCGTGGCAGTGAGATGTAGAGGACAGGGTCAACGCCAGACCTCAGAGAGAGCCCAGGGAGCTTGGCCAACAGGATGGAGAGGACAAGGGAAACACTTTAAGATTTTGTCATGTGTTACAGATAATGGCCCGGGTCAGAAGACACGGATTTCTGGACCTTCGTTTTTGTTTTTTTTTTTTTAAGACTTCATTAATTTATTTGACAAAGAGAGACACAGCAAGAGAAGGAAGCAGGGGGAGTGGGAGAGGAAGAAGCAGGCTTCCCACTGAGTCTGGAGCCCAACTCGGGGCTCGATCCCAGAACCCTGGGATCACAACTGGAGCCAAAGGCAGACACTTAATGACGGAGCCACCCAGGTGCCCTCACTTGTTTACAAGTTGATGCAGAACTTTGGGGAAATCTCAACTCCCCCCACACCTTAACTTTCTTCCTTATTAAATGAAGAGTTGCCCGAAATGAACTACAAGATGCATCCCAGCAGCAAAATGCTATTATTCTAGGATATTTTTCTCCAGTTACTTAAATTATTATAGAAAACCCATTTGAAGATTATAAGGTTCTTGCAACCTAGAGCTTCCATAATCATCACTACAGAAAATTATAGGATCTCAGTCAGTGATAACATAATCACAGGGCTGGATTTTGTGGCATGGCCTTTGACAGAGGCGGTAAAAAAATTTATATGGAAGAACACTGGAAGAAGCCAAAAGAATGCTTTGTGTTCTCTGGGTGTACTAAAATTCATTTGTTCATAACCCACTCGTGAATGAGGACAAGGAGGAGCCAGACATCTAAAGGTCATAGACCTAAAACAATCAACGCAGAGTGGTCCTCGGGATGCTTCCCTTCAGTAAGAACGGATTTAACTCCCTCTGCATATGCCAGCGAGGCAGGCATTCAGCTCCATTACCTTTCTTTTTCCAGTTCAACTACCCAAATGCAGAGCCTTCTTTCTGGTCCCCATCCTTCACGGGGATTGCCCAGTCTGTCCCTCTCCATCCTCAGCCCCTCTCTCCGAGACCGCTGGATCACTCCCTCGGGGTTTATCATATCCGGCTGCTGTACCTGTGTTCTCTCTGTACCAACTACACCAGAAGCTGCCTGAATGTTAAGATGGTTATGTTTCAGGACACCTGGGTGGCTCAGTTGGTTAGGCCACTGCCTTCGGCTCAGGTCATGATCTCAGGGTCCTGGGATCAAGCCCTGCATCAGGCTCCTTGCTTGGTGGGGAGCCTGCTTCTCTCTCTGCCTTTGCCTGCCACTCTGCCTGCTTGTTCTCTCTTTCTGAGAAATAAATAAAATCTTTAAGATGGTTATGTTTCTTTATATCTCTTAGCACAGTGCTTTGCCCAAAGCTAACACTCAGTAAATATTTACTGGCTGGTTACAGAAACATTTAAAAATCATTTCATGAAAATGGGCCTCTCTGAAAATTTTTTTTTCTTGAAAGATCGCTTTAGATGACTCTACATAACAATGAATAGCTCCCACTAATAAGAAATGTCTTTATATGAAACCAAAATAATTCCCACAACAAATATTTATTGAGTACCTACTATATTCCAGGCACTCAGGGTCAGGGGTCTGGCTCCAAAAACACATGGTTAAAAAAAAAAAAAAAAAACTTAAAAAAAATAAAGTAATAAAAGATCTTTAAAAAAAAAAAAAAAAAAGGTCCCTACCCTCAAGGAGCCCAAAACTTTAGCTGGAAGACAGTTATGTGATCATTATAATGCAATAACTGAACGTGCAGTAGGAACTTTAAGAAGCACCAAATTCTGCCTTAGAAAGACAAGAAAAGTCTCCTGAAAAGAGACAGCATCTGAACTGACCCTAGAAGAATGAATCAAAATATGGCAAACAGGCAAGTGGCAGCAGAGGTCTGAGAGCCGGAGAGATGTTGTGTGTCCTCAGCCTCACCCACAGGTCAGCATCCGGGAGAGCAGGTGTGAGGGAGGGCAGTGCTGTGACACGGGCTGGACAGGTAACTAGAGGCAGGGCTGTGAAAGGCTTTCATGTTGGCCAAAAGATTTCAGATTTTATCTTGCAAATGGCAGGAAGCCACTGGCCAATTTTAACCAGGTTAATGACGTGATCAGGCTTAACATGGTAGAAAATTCATTCTAGCCAGGGTCTAGAGCGTAGATTGGAAGGAAATGAGAGTGCAGAGACAGAAAAAGCAGTTAGGGGCGGTTTGCTGCTGTTCCCGCAAGAGATCACACGAGAACTCAGGGCGGGGCTGGGTCTGTCTCACGCTCTGCACACCAATAGCTTGTTTCTCAGTACGGTGGACAGATGTAAATCCACCAAGGGCATGAAACTTCCCTCGGGTCAGGGCTGCTCCCTCAGAGCCTGCCAGAAGCCATCAAGGAGTGAGACTAACAAACTCAGCAATTGTTTGGATACAAAGTAAATGGGGGAGAGAGAAAGAGAGTGGTTTCCGAGGGTCTGAGTAGTGGTACTGACACCACTGAGGAAGAAAAGGAGGGCTTTCGTCCGGGGCTGGAATGGGGGAAGGGCATGAGAACAGGGGTGCTGAGCCTGATGTGGAGTTTGGAGGTGGAACATGATCCGAGAATAGAACCCTGAAAGACATCTGAGTTAGCAACATACATTTGATGGTAAGATTCCACTCCCTGGTGGACTGAAGCTGTAGGCATTTCTGCGATGCCCCCCGAATCACAGGTAGTGGGAGAAGAGAGAAGGGTCAAGAACAGGGCCTGGTATAGGATGGTTAAATTTTAAGGGTAAGCAGAGGAAGAGAGCAGAAGGTGAGAGACCATGAAGGGCTTGCCAGAGAGACAGAAGGCTGCCCAGGGTTCAGTAGTGTCATGGAACCCAAGACCTGAAAATCTCAAGAAAGAGACATCAGTGGGCAGGGTCAGACTCTGCAGGGCTTAAAAAGGTGCCATGAAAAGGGAATGAAACATGCAACTCATACATGCCAGTCTCAAAGGATTCAGAAAAACACTAAGTAGGAACAATGCACACAATATCACAGAAATGACGCATACGTGCGTTTGAGTGTCCGTCTGTCTATAGGTGGACAGACACACAGAGAAAGATGAAATTGGCCCAAAGTTAGCGAATCTCAGTAAGATGATCTGGGAGTCCTCCATGCTAGTCTTGCAGTTTTCCTGTATGTCTGAAATAATGTTCTGTGTGAAAAAATGAAAAGGTAAAGAAAGTGGTGCCCAGAGGATTTCGTCACGAATTGTTTAGCGGTGGCCAGAGCAGAACAGCGTGGGGGTGGTGGTCCGTTTTTCAACTGACAGTTGGTAGTTACCATCCTCTCTTTCTATGTAAGCATCCTACTCGGACCTAAGGGCTTTACTTCAAACCAAGTCACCCCTCTTCACCCTTCCACATAGGTCTTGTCCTGAACCACTCTGTGCTCCCCTGTGAACCTTCATGGCTTTTCCAAATCCCAGCTTCATTGTGTGTCCAGAACTGGACCCAGTACTAACCTAAGGGTCTGACCTTTGCTGGCCGGCGTGAGGGAGCAAAAGATAGCAGATCCTTCTCTGGCCCAGAGCACGTGGTCAATAGAAAAAAACAGAAAGTTCTCTAATTAAATGAAGCTTCCAAAAAAATGAAATAGGCAGTTTCCTTTCTTGCTGCTGTAAAATGACAGGAATGACAGGGCGAAAGGTACGGATGATCTTTGACTCATTAATATCAAAGTCCTTGTAATCACGTCCTAAGTCCTCTTCCCACCCTTCCTATTATTACATGACTCTAAGAGCTATTGTTTTGGTTTTGCCTCTAACACCATCAAGAGAGCTATGCTTCTTTTTTTCGTCTGAACACAGAGTCCTCCCTGACTGACGCTGAAGATCAGAGCCAGTTAATACGCGTTCTCTAAATGTTCTCAATATTATCAGACGAATTGATAACCCCCACCTTCAAAGTATTTGGGTTTTGTTGTTAATAAACACAACAGAAGGGGAGCCCAGGCACAACCCTCAGGGCTGATCAGGGTAACAAAGAACAAGAATGGCTTTTGTTTTAAAGCAGATGAACCTTTGGCTAAGACAGAGCGTGCATCCTTCCCTCTGTTTATGGCTTGGAAGCAGGAAAGCCGTTAAAAGAGAAACAGCCAGACACTGCCTTTCACAGGGTTGGGGGCAAACTGCCCTTGGATGGCACAGTATGAACAAACATTAATAACTAAGTACGGATCTTACTAAGAAGTTATCATCCCTGCATCAGGCATCAGGATTCCCCAATGCGAACGCTGTACCAATGGCCACTGCTGTGTGTGTGCTGGGAAAACCCAGTGCCATTAAGCAGTTATTCTGAGTGCATGGAGTATGGACTGATTGTGAGTATTGGTAACAAAAGAACCCCATTGAGAGCGGGATGGAATAGAGGATTTCAGTGCTGGTGGAGATTAAGTAGCCTGAGAATGGCTTTGTATATTAACTTGAGGGAACTCAGGTCTTGCGACCTAAAAAGTGACACCTGATGTCTCAATTGTCGGGTAATAAATCTTCAGTAAACCACAGATCTCAAGTAGTCTGCTCAGAAGGTGAGAGAAATCACATCAAGCCCGTAAATGTCTTCTTTTCTGGGGACTGAAATGCCATCTCTGGGCACTTACGTTTATGTGAATAGCGGATTTAACACTTGAGACAATTGAAGTTTCATAAAATGACGAGTCCTTGGCCTTGTTGACAAAAGCACCCTGCGAAGAGTACTATTGTAATCTGAATTGTCAGCTGCAAAGGTATAACAGGATTAAAACCAAGTGGCAACCCAAGATTTCAGGTCTGGTAACCTAAGGGAAAAAATCCTGATAGCTTTTTTCTTTGTTGGTGGGAATGAGGACAGAGAACAGAGACATGTAGAATCCGATGGCAGCAGAAAAAACTCCTGTTCACCTATTTTTCTAATAGTTAAAAGCTGACAAAATTTCATTTTATTTAAGACTTTATTTAGTGATTGAGAGAGAGAGAGAGCACGCACACTTGCACAAACGCGCATGAGTGGGGGGAGGGGCAGAAGGGGAGGAAGAGAGAGAATCTCAAGCAGTCTCCACGCGGATTGTCAAGCCCCACTGGATCACAGGACCCGGAGATCATGAACCCGAGCTGAAATCAAGAGTTAGATGCCCAAATGACTGAGCCACCCCCTGAAAATTTTTTTTTTTTTAAATGACCTTATCAGGAGCACCTGGGTGCCTCAGTCTATTAAGCACCTGCCTTCGGCTCAGGTCATGATGTCTGGGTCCTTGGATCGAGTCCCGCATTGGGCTCCCTGCCTGGTGGGGAGTCTGCTTCTCCCTCTCTCTGCTCTTCTCCCCTGATTGTGCCCTCGCTTTCTATCTCTCAAATAAGTAAATAAAATCTTTTAAAATAATACAATAAAATGACATTATCGGCATCAAGAAATATTTATAGCTTGTAGCACAGGTGGGTGTTTTTTGTTTTCTTTTTTGGTTTCTTACCTTCATGAACAGTGATGGTCATGGAAATAGCCACTGTGTTCCATCAACACACCTGATAAGACTGTACAGTAGCAGTTTTCTTCCGGGTCCACCATAAGGAAGGATGCTCTTGGCCTATCTATTTGCAGAGCCTCCCTGCCTACCTTCCCCCCATGCGGCTCCATATAGTGCATGGAAGGAAGAACGCTTCTCTCGACTGAAACACCGAGAAAGAAGTTCTTCCTTTTTTGGAGGGCCACCGGTAAAAATTCAAAGTGTAGACGAGCTCATCAGAACCTGGCCAATCCTCCAGAAAGGAAGGAGAACATGCTTTGAATTTCAGATAAGCCATTTATACTTAAGAATCTGATATGCAAAGTAACATTGTATGGGATTGTTTTTTTTTTTTTATTTAACAGCCTCAACCTCATCATTACAGGGAGAGGTCATTGGAAATAGAATACCACTTAATATTATATGGAAGAGGTTGTTTTAGTAATTATATCAGAAAAGTGAAAAGTTGAACTCATTGCAGTAATTTGGCCATTCTTCATAGCAAGCTGAAACCATTTGAGCAAAAATAGGAGTTATTCACTTTAAGGGCTGTTTTTTTTTCCCCCCTCGAATGACCCAGGTAACCGGCATTTTTCAATTAATGTTGCACAGAGAGAGATTTCTTTTTATATGTGTGTTCAGAAAGAATTTGTAGTTCTATACCACATTGATGCATATGGTCATGTTACTGTTTTTACTAAGCAGTTAATCATTCTTTCCAAAGGCCTCTTAACTCTGCTAGTTTTTCACAAAGTAATGAGTGCTTTATTCCTTGGAAAATATTTCTAAATGGCTTAGCACAATATAGTTACATAGTGTATCTATTATACCAGGAGTACATTTTGTTGTTATAAGACTTTGAAAAGCATAAAGACCGTTCTGAAATTGAAATATTTCCCCCAGATGTTTGATTGCCTAAGTACAGGCTATATTAAGGAATTGAAGCAAAACAACCCTTGTGGCTTCACAAATGTCCTATCACAGTGCAGACTCTTTTATAATCCTCTGAATAAAATCTAATTTGTTTCATCTGGTGAAGAGGTCATTTCTAGTTTCTGACCTATATGAGTAAGAAGATCTGATCATCTAAATGGCATCTTGTATTTGACTTGTACTTGTTCGGTAAAGCGAATCACTGATGTCCTCTCCGGTTGAGATTTTTAAAAATGTTCACCTTAGTTGAAATAAACTTGCATATTTCGATGTAGATTTGTACTTTCTTTGTAGTCCTGTGGAGGTAAATCTCCTTCCCGTAACCCCCCATTTGGTAACACTTCATTTTACACTTGAGGTCAAAGACTTGTCTTTAATATCAAGCCCACTCTAAGCTCTCTACTTCTTTTTAGAAAATTCGTAATCTGAAATTGCCAGGAAGACTTTCTCAGCTAGTCACGCTCATATCCTGAAATTAGGAAAGGACCTACTGGACTCTTTATCTCCTTTCAAATCTGTGGTCCCCTTCCCAGCAGTCTCAACTCCTAGTCTGAAAAAATACTAAGTAAAATATGAAGACTGCCAATCATCTGAGTTTACATTAACCAAAGATATCTTTTTAGGATTACCAGGAACAACTGTCTCAAAATGAAAGTGCAAAATCAAACAGCACGCCGAGAGGTCCATCTTCTGGAACAACCAATGGCCAGCAACCTTCCAGAAAACCAGTCCGGCACAAGATTCGAAACCAGCATAAACGTCAGCATGGCCGGAAGCCTCTGGTGACTGAAGAGCTGAATGTCAGTCACAGAAACCGGCATAGCACTCCCAGACAGCAACACAACCAGAATAAGCCTGCTGATACTTCAGTAAAGCACGAAACACTCGGAATCATGAATGCGCCTAACAATGATTTACAACACTCAGGCACACTTAGGAGCCAGGAGCCTGAAGCAGCCTCCAATAAATTTGCTGCACCACAGCAGGCTTTTGGCAAGGTGTTGTACAAAAACTCTACTGGAAATCACTTGGTGAATGTTAAGAAAGAAAGAGGACACAGAGGCCGAGAAGAGAAAAGACCGTCACATCACCAGCTACACCTCAACACCCTTTCCAATATGGACTTGAACTTCCTTAATGAGCTTACAGAAAGACCAGTGGCACTGAGCCAGAAAGGCTCCCAGTCTGCTAGTAACAAAAATGTTAATGGATCGAGGGAAAATAAGAAGCAATCCAAGCAGACCTACACAGAGACAAAATATAAGAACTTAGAAATATTATGGTAAGAACTCCCGTTTTCTCAAGTGTTTTTTCTAGAGGAGAAACGAGAGACTACTGAAGACAGGAGAAGGAGAATGGGGGGTGGGCACATCATGGGGATGGTCAGGGGAGAGGAAAACATCACCTAACACGGTCCTTGGCTCTGAATTTTTTTTTTCATGATTTATTTTATTTATGGGGGAGAGAGAGAGAGAGCAGCAAGTGTGGGAGATGAGAGGGGCACAGGGAGAGGGAGAAAGAGAATCTCAGGCAGACTCCCTACTGAGTGTGGAGCCCAAGGCAGGGCTTGATCTCACAACCCTGAGATCGTGACCTGAGCCAAAACCAAGAGTTGGATGTTTAACAGACTGAGCCATCCAGATGCCCCAGTTGGCTCTGATTTCTGCCTCAAATTGTCCACTTTCAATGTATTTTTCTTCTTCTCTGTCTCCTCTAGTTTTTCCACTGTAGTTAAGCCGGGTGGCAGGCGGCAGGGAGGGGGCGGACAGAGGGACTAGTCATTTAAAAAAAGATCTCTTTTGATCTTTTTGATATTTTGAGGGTTATAAGTAATGTTTGGAAGAAACGATCTCTAACTCTGTGTTGACCTATCCTAAGGATATAATCAAAAATACAGAAAAATATGTATGCACAAAAATACCGTCGTTTACCAAAATGACAACAATAACTCAATAAGGAAATATTTAGGTAAATTATGGCATTAAATATCATGTAACCATTAAAAGTTACGGTTATGAGGAAATACTTCTACAAAAAAGAAAATAATAAGGTACAAATTTACACCTGAGGTGTAGAAGCTCTGCTATGTAAAACTATGCACAAAGAAAGAAAAATGCACCAAAATGTCAAAACTGGTTATTTCCGGCAAGAGAGGCTGGATTATTTCTAATGTCATCTTTGTACTTCTGACTGGTTCAAGTTCCCTGCAATGTAGATATATTCCTTCTATAATCAGAAAAAAAGAAAAAGCGGTTTTAAAAAAAAATCACTTCCAGGGAGCTTTCCTGATGTCATTCAATCAAATGTGTTTTAGCACATACCTGCCATGCACTAAATCCAGCACTAAAATGCTATAGAAGATACAAAAGTAGTACGACGCACAGGTACCTTCCAGGGGCTTACTTTCAAAGTAGGGAGACAATTTTGCATATCTGAAGTGATGAAAAGGCATTTCAGTGCTGTATGCTGTACTTAGAGGCATGAAACATTCATTCATTAAAATTTGGATTTAGCTTCCTGGAGGAGATAGTGATAGGTAGCAAGGATCCTGGTCTTTTTCCCCCAACTTTAGAGGGAATGCTTCTAACATTCATATCATTAAAAATACTTAACTTTGGGGGCACCTGGGTGGCTCAGTCGGTTAAAGCCTCTGCCTTCGGCTCAGGTTATGATCTTGGGGTCCTGGGATTGAGCCCCGCATAGGGCTCTCTGCTCAGCAGGGAGCCTGCTTCCTCCTCTCTCTCTGCCTGCCTCTCTGCCTACTTGTGATCTCTGTCAAATAAAAAAAAATAAAAATCTAAAAAAAAAATACTTAACTTTTGGAAGACAGGGAGGGGAGACAGTAAATTTCTCCTATTGCTAATCCTTTTGCAAAGGGCTTTTATCACAAATGGACTTCCAATGTTAGACTTACATTTATTGTGATAATCATATTTGGATTTATTTCTCCCATCTTAATTTGTCCTTCCAATCACCCTATTTTCCTGTACTTTTACAGCTCTCTCCATATACAGATATCTAGATCTTCTATTGAACTAATAGAGTTTTGTTACTTTTTCCCCTACTGATTTGGAAATAAATATTCTCTTTCTAATTTGAGTATTGTTGACAAAGTCCCTTTAGTTTTAAGTGTACAACTCAGTGATCTGACAAGTTTATACATTATGTTATGTTCACAAGTGTAGCTACCATCTGTCCCAGTACACTGCTGTTACAGTACCAGTGACTTTGTGCCTGATGCTGTGACTTTTATTCCCATGACTTACTCATTCCATAACCGGCAGCCTGCACCTCCCTCTCCTTCACCCATTTTTCTCAATTCCCTACCTCCTCCCCTCTGACCACCATCAGTTTGTTCTCTAGGTTTATGGGACTGATTCTGTTTTTTATTTTTTGGATTTCATTTATGAGTGGGATTATACAGTATTTGCCTCAGCGAGGCTTAATTCACTTCGCTTTAACATTGTATACAATGTTTTAAATTTAACTGTTTATGTCTTTGCCTCACAGTTTTTCTTCCATTTTATTCTTTCTTCCTGAAGTAGACAGCTTTGGAGATTTTTTTAACAAGAGTAGGTCACTGGGGGACGCCTGGGTGGCTCAGTTGGTTAAGCAGCTGCCTTCAGCTCAGGTCATGATCCCAGCGTCCTGGGATCGAGTCCCACATCGGGCTCCTTGCTTGGCGGGGAGCCTGCTTCTCCCTCTGCCTCTGCCTGCCATTCGTCTGCCTGTGCTCGCTCTCTCTCCCTCTCTCTCTGACAAATAAATAAAATCTTTAAAAAAAAAAAAAAAAGAGTAGGTCACTGGTAAATTTACCTGAAATTCTTTTATGCTCTATCTTGAATTATAGTTTAACCTGATGAAGAGTTAAACTCTTTGAAAACATTTCTCTACCTCCCAGTTTCCATGAAGAGTTTTTTGTCAATATAATTTTTTTTAATCTTTTCCTTTATGCTTGGCATTTTGAAGTTTCACTATGTTAGGTCTAAGTATGAAATGTTTAATCCTGCTGTTGATTCCTAAATCTGGAGATTCATCTCTTTCATAAATTCTACACAATTATCATCCATTTCCCTTTATTAGGAAATAGGCATAGGAAATACCATGAATCTTATGAAATATTATTTACCCTCTTTCCCTCCAGGAACACCAAAGAGATGTTAAAAATCTTTTATTCTAGACTCTATGTCTCTTTAATTCGGTTTCTTATTTTCTATTTCTTTTATCTATGTGTACTCCTGAGAAATTTCCTCCCATATGTTTCCCAATGCAATAACTCTCTTCAGTTGTAGCCAGTAGGCTACAATGTACCCACTGAGTTGTAAATTTCAATCCTAGTATTTTTCATGTCTAGAATTTTTATTTGGTTCTGATTAAAACCTTCCTGTTCTTTTTTCAAAATAGGTTTCCTGGGGTTTTAATTTCTTCTTTCAGGTCTTGAATCATTTTAAACATGCTTGCTTTAAGAATGCTATCTAGGGGCGCCTGGGTGGCTCAGTGGGTTAAGCCTCTGCCTTCAGCTCAGGTCATGATCCCAGAGTCCTGGGATTGAGCCCCACATCTGGCTTTCTGCTCAGCAGGGGGCCTGCTTCCCCGCTCCACCCTGCTTCTCTGCCTACTTGTGATCTCTGTCAAATAAATAAATAAAATCTTTAAAAAAAAAAAAAAAGAATGCTATCTAATATTCTACTACCAGAAGTTCTCAGAAATCTACCACTGCTTCTTGTGTGTGGGTGGGTGTCTGCTGACTCTCCTACTTGGTAGATTATCTCCTCAGAGATTCTAGGATTTTGAATTGTGAATGTAGTTTAGTCATCCTGTCTGTAGATGCCTCGGCAGGCTTGAGAAGGAATAGATCCCTCCAGAGAACTTTATATTTGCTTCTGCCAGATATGCAGAGGCATCCCTCCTCTGGGATCATTTTTATGTCATTTTTTTGGTCTTAGATTCCATGACTAAATGGGAATGTAAATATGAACCCCAAATACTGTCGTATAGAAATTCCTAGACCAAGACAGATCGGCTTGCTTTGTTGAGTCTCAAGGCTTGTGACTGAGCTAATCACTAATCCAACTTTTTATCCAGGACATAGCTCTCCCAGGCCTTCACACAAGCATCTCGACTGATGCCCCAGCTGACATGGGGCCAAGATTTCACAGATCCTGTACCAGAGTGAAGTGTTAGAACCTGAGCGCATATGTCCAAAACTCCCACAAAGCAAGCCACAGCTTCAGTTTATCCAAAATCTGCTTTACTTTCAATTCCTTTTTTGGTTTTGGTCCCAAAGATTCCCTACCTCATACAAATTAGTCTAGGTATTCAAAAAGATGTTTGTTTAAATTTAATCCAACATTTCCAGGTATTTTATAGCAGCAAGGACTTTTCAAAGGGGTATTTTCTTTTTCTATTCTATATTTTTTCTATTCTATATTTTTCTATTTCTATATCTCACAAAGCAGCACAGTCTGCTTTGGATTCTCTCTCTCTCTCTCAAATAAATATTTTTTTTTAAAGATTAAGCTAAAGGTCATTAATTTGATTTGGAGAATGATGAATACATCAAAGTCATAAAGATGTTCCTGCTAAAAGTCTTAAGTATCCCGTTTTTAATAACAGATTGGTGGGGTGTTTTTCCCGTCAGGAAATTCGATCCTTCCTCGGACAGCCAGCCTGTTAGAGCTTCTCCAGACTCCCAGCTCACCCAGATAATGGAACAGCACCAGCAAGCCTTAATACAGCTGACCGACGTGCAGCCCAAGGAAGGGGCCCCATCCAACATCACATTTCCACCTCTGTTGTCAAGGGTCGAAAGTGAATCCCAGCTCGGTTCAGAGAGAAGCCAAAGAAACCAAATGGAAATGAGTCGTAGCAATTCCGAAGGCTATCTGCTTCAACTGGAAAAAGGAAGAAAGCATAGGAAAAGGAGCGGCTTCAAGGTAACAGAAGCATTTTAGTGAATAATCTTTTAATTCTCGTTATACAGATGGCCCCTGGTCTTCATTCCCTTACTTCTAGCCTGGGCAACGGATGGTCCTTACTGAGCAGCTGCCATGCTGGGTGGCCCCAAGTCCTGAGGCACTTCCTAGTGTGACCTCCTGCTGTTGCCTGGAATGGGCCTCCTTTGAGCTTCAGCTCAGGGAAGGGTCTCCTTTTATAAAGAAGCAGAGACCTCCTTTTGGACCCAGATTAAACACCAGCCCCTCAGAAACGGTCCTCACACCCTGTCTTGACCCCTAGTCAAGGCTGAGCCTCTCAGCACGTTCTCCTATCTGAGGAGACAAAATAGGGCTGAGGGAGGTTGCAAAATCTTTCCAGGAAGACATGAAGGCATACAGAAGGCGTCTTTGTAGGTCCTCTGCGTTTCTCCACTGTTGCAAGCATTAAAAACCCCTCAGGAAAGGTCGCTCGCCTCTCACATGGAATGCTAAGGAGAGAACTGGAAAATGCATTCTGTGTTATAGGGCCCCTTCCAACCAGTGGGAAGCAAAGGGCCTGTGGTGATCTGGGTTCCCCAGGAACAGACTCTGAAATGGAGATTCATGGGCAGGAGGCTGACTGAGCCGTGCCTCCCAAACCAGCCCTGGAAGGGGTGAGGGGGGCAGGGCTGGCTGAGGAAGAGTGTGTTGTGATGCAGGTGCAGCAGAAGCTCTAGGAGTCCACATGGGCTCTGAGTTGGGATGGCTCTTTGAAGGTAAAGGGTGCGGGCGTTTGCTCCACCACATGGAACAGACGTTGGCTACAGACGGTCTCCCCAGGGAGAGCCCCAACTTTGGGTACCGCAGCTCCATCTGGCTGAGGGCAGTTCTTAGGGAGGGACCCGACTGGGAGGCATAGCGGACAGCAAGTGGAGGAATGATTATCTCGGTCCCCAGGGACATCCACTGCAAGGCGGTTTAGGGAATCAACCATAGTTCAATTCAACATAGGTGCTGAATTCGTATTAGGAACTGTGCTAGGTGCTGGGATGTAAAGAGAATGAGCCATGACCCTTCCTCATGTAGACACACATGAAAATGGCTTCACTATAACGTTGCATTTATTTTTTATTATTTTTTTTTAAGATTTTATTTATTTTCGGACGCCTGGGTGGCTCAGTTGGTTGAGCAGCTGCCTTCGGCCCAGGTCATGATCCCGGCGTCCTGGGATCGAGTCCCACATCAGACTCCTTGCTTGGCAGGGAGCCTGCTTCTCCCTCTGCCTCTGTCTGCCATTCTGTCTGCCTGTGCTCGCTCTCTCTCCCTCTCTCGCTCTGACAAATAAATAAATAAAATCTTAAAAAAAAAAAAGATTTTATTTATTTGACAGACAGAGATCACAAGTAGGCAGAGAGGCAGGCAGAGAGAGAGGAGGAAGCAGGCTCCCTGCTGAGCAGAGAGCCCTATGTGGGGCTCGATCCCAGGACTCTGAGATCATGACCTGAGCCGAAAGCAGAGGCTTTAACCCACTGAGCCACCCAGGCGCCCCTATAACGTTGCATTTAAAAAAAAAAAAAAAAGAGGTATGTGTGGATTGCGCAGAGGAGCAAAAAGGAGTTTGGATTGACAGTCTAACCTAAGGGGTCAAGCAGAGCTTCAGGGGATAATTCTGAGTTGAGATGTAGATGATCAAGAGTTAATAAGAGGGATGTTAGGGTAGCTCACTCGGTTAAGCGGTTAAGCGTCTGCCTTCAGCTCAGGTCATGATCCCAGGGTCCTGGGATCGAGTCCCACATCAGGCTCCCTGCTCAGTGGGGAGTCTGCTTCTCGCTCTCTCTGCTGCTCTCCCTGTTTGTGTGATCTCTTTCAGTCTCTGACAAATAAATAAAATTTTTTAAAAAGTTAATAAGACCAAAAGAGCATTTCAGGCAAAAGGACCAGCCTGTAGTTTAGTCCCTAGCAAACAGAAGACCATCAAATAAATGTTAGTTTCCTTTTTCTTTTTCTATCAGTAATTTGAATTCATGTCTTACAGAGAAGAGGCAGCAGAAAGTACCCCGATGACCGTGTATATCACCAGAAGTCTAAGAGCATGGGAGAGTCAGAAGGGGAATTAAAAAAGAACTTCTAGTCACTGTTGCCCAAACCCTCTTTCCAACTCAGAAAATCCCTCCCTTCCTGCTTTCTTTCAGGAATGTTCCAACCTACCCATATCCATTTGCTCGGCCCAGCACCTCCAACTTGCATCTAACAAATGCTCAGAAGTGCTCTTTGTCCATTAAGCTACTCCAGAAGCTAAAATGACTTAGAATCGAGCTGTCCGTATAGGACAGCAGGTAGCTAGGGCACCGGACAGGGGAATCATTATGTGGGTCGTGCCCACTTGCTGGTCACAGCAAATCTTGTGGTTTCCTAGGGATTCGACTTGAATCACATTAAAAGTTTGAGGATTTGTACAGCTAACAGGCCCAAGCACCTTCTCCTTCCCTTCTCCTTCTCCTGGCAGTTCTGATTCCCCTTCTCCTGGCAGTTCTGATGCGACTGGTTTATGAACACTAAGCATTGTCTGTGCTGGTAAATCCAGACGTCAGGAGGGAAGGGACAGATGCAGCAGAAGGGATGACAAAGCACATAAAAGTATCTGTTGGGACCAGCCACAAAACAGCTGCTTAAGCAATTCTGGGACAGCTGAGCTACAGGTACTAACTCCTGTGCTTGTTATTACAGACTGTCTGGGTATTGCTGCTTGGTGGCTTCTAAGAAGAGGTTTATTGAGATGAAATTTAGCAACCACAGAGCAATTTTCCTTCATTTACTGTTCCCCGGTAGCGGAGGCATTGTTTTGTTGTCCTGCTTTTGAGTAACTTTCTCACACTCAGACATCTGAGGAATGTTCTAGAGAAAAACCCTGCCGTGTCCCCCACAGCAGGGTACAGCACTTCAGAATCGAAACAAGTCCTCACGGGACTTTTTTTTAGTCAGGCATGCTTTGCCCCACGTTTACAATAGAAGTCACTCCTCTAGCTTGAGAGGTGGGATCAGTTATTGGCAGAAACGTGCCATCAGGAAAGTCTGGTGCCATCCTCTGCCCAGGGGACCATCAACAGAGAACACCAGTTCGGAGGGGCGGGTCTGGGGTTTGAAGTCCTCAGCCCGGGGCCAGGGATGGTGGAGGTCAGCTAGGACGGGTCTCATGCAAAGACTAGCAGTGAACCCCCTCAGGGGTTTGTTGAGAACAGGACTCTATTTTCCTCCTGTGTTTAGAGACGTAACAGGACTATCATTGTTGATTTAATTTGGGGGGAGGGGGAGCATGCTATTGTGACCTTTTAGTCTTGTAACAGCCAAGGAGAACTAAATCAAAGTAAATTCTGAGGATTATTTTACTATAAAGCCTTTTGAAGAGGCAGAAAGTAGATTAGTGGTTGCCTAGGGCTGGCAGTAGAGGGGGGCCGAGGAGTGGCTGCTAATGGGCACAGGGGTTTCTTTTCAGGGTGATGAAAATGTTCTAAAATCAGATTGTGGCGATGTTTGCACAACTTGATGAATATACTAAAAAACCATTGAATCGTACAACTTCAAATGGGTGAATTTGGTGGTGTGTGAATTCTGTTTCAATAAAGCTGTTAGAAAAGACTTTTGATGGAAAGAGATCAAACGAAATTACAGCACTGAGAGCCAATCAAGATTACTTGAGGCAAACTTAAATCCAGGATTTTTCATTGCCAGTCACCCAGAACAAACTCCGTTAGGAACCATGTTCTCTCCCCCTTGAGAAAAGGGCGCTTTGCTAGAAGTAGCTCAGGCTGGAAAGGAGATAGTAGCATTGGGATACTCATGTCTGTCCTTGGGCCACACTGTTTACTTTGTGTCAATATTTCATGTTAGTCCCTTTGTGTTTTCCTATGACAGCCAAGATGTTTATTCTGGTTATGCGAGGGGATAGTAAGAACTGGGACCACAGACCCCGGGCGGGGGCAGCAGGGAGCAATGATTCGTGCTTCACACTGTATCTTTTGTGTCAGTGCAATGATTAAAGTTAATCTGCTTCACGCTAAGTCTGTGATTTCTGGCCACTGATCATTTCTCATCCGTTTTGGACAAATTGGATTTATGACCTGGATATGAGTGAGGCTCTCTCCTTTTTCATTATTGGTTTACTTTGCCAAATAGAAAGTAACTTAGCGATTGCGAAACAGTGGTACTGATGGCATGTCCGAGATAAAGAACCAGATAAAGAACAAATTTGCAATTGCCAAGTAGAAGATACCCAAATTCATTCACCTATTAATCATTAGTGGAGATTTTAAAATGTGATCATACCCAGTGTAATCAAGGTTTGGACAAAAAACGGCATTCTTACACATTGCTAATGGAAGTGCTCACTTAGGACCTTAAGGGTGTTTGTGATTTTGTCTCAATAATTCCACTTCTATTAAGTTTAGATCTCAAAGTGTTCATCAGAGTAGCCCACAAACAATGCTTATCCCTAGGACATCTTAAATAACATTTAGAATGCTATGTATAAAAGTCACATTTTTTTTTAAGATTTTATTTATTTCTTTGACAGAGACAGATCACAAGTAGGCAGAGAGGCAGGCAGAGGGAGAGGGGGAAGCAGGCTCCCCGCCGAGTAGAGAGCCCGATGCGGGGCTTGATCCCAGGACCCTGAGATCATGACCTGAGCCGAAGGCAGAGGCTCCAACCCACCGAGCCACCCCGGCACCCCTAAAAGTCACATTTTTGAAAGATATTTAGTGATAGGGAAATACAGCATAATGCTAAGATACTTAGTGTAAAAAAATATAATTTGTAGCACTTGGCCATTTTCTGAAAATATGAACAGACAGACGTTAACAGACAGGAAGTTGTTGGACTGGTTTTGCCAGGTGATTGTTTTCTCTAAGGAGATTTAGGGTTTTGAAAAGCCTTTCATAAGCAATTTTTTCTCTCTATACTTTAATATTTCAGTGATTTTAGCCCAACAACCTCTTAAAAAAAAGAGCCTCTCTCTTTTACAATTAGATATACTCTAAGACTTTTGACTATACATTTTGAACATTCTAATCAGGGAGATTCTATTTGCAGGACTCAAACCTTGCGGCATAGAAATGTTGCCTAAAAGATACAGGATTCTGGCTCTCTGAAGTACTGAAATTCTTGCAATACTGCTTTTGGCTCCAAACACCTTCAAAATTATGACTCATTCTTCTCACCTGCAATTAATCCACAAGTAGATGGTAACTAGTACTGGGGGTCCACAGCTCAAAACATCAGAACCAATATTTGTATGGCTCTCTCATGTCTTTCCTGACACAAGATTGCTGGTACAGCTCCAGCTATCATATCTACATGCAAGGCAGGGAAAAGGAAAGGGAGGGGCTGCACCAGCTTGAATAAAAGCTAAGCCAACTTGCATTTATGCCTCATGGGCCAGAGCTCAGTGCTGCAGATCTGGGAAAAGAAAGTCTCCAAGCCTCTATGGTGGGGTAGGACAAGGGAGAAACCAGCTGGTAGGAGCTATGGGTAGTCAGCCAATAGGCCAGTGGGAGTAGAACAAATTCTTGTAACCAATGATACATTGATATAAGATTACTTACACCCTTCAAATTATCCAAAAATCACATTAACTAAATGGCATTTCTCAGATCGTACCTAGACTTTTTTTTTTTTTTTTAAGATTTGTTTGAGAGACAGAAAATGTGCATGCACAAGCAGGGGAAGAGGCGGGGAGAGGGCAAAAGAGAGAGACTCCACACTGAGTGTGAAGCCTGATGTGGGGCTTGATCTCACAAACCTGAATGGAAATCAAGAGTCAGAGACTTAACCGATTGAGTGGCCCAGGTGCCCCAGTTCTTGCTTGGACTCTTAACCCTTAAAAATTTACAACCTTTTCCTAATCGGAGAGGGAGACAAACCGTAAGAGACAGAGGGTTGCTGGAGGGGAGGTGGGGGCGGGGGGGGGGGGTAACTGGGTGATGGGCATTAAGGAGGGCACGTAGCAGTAATGAGCACTGGGTGTTACAAACAACTGATGGATCACTGAACTCAACCTCCGAAACTAGTAATACACTTTAATTGAATTTAAGTTTAAAAAATGTTACGGTCTTTTGAATGTTAGGACATGATGAGAGCACTCGCCTTTCGAAGCAATGCTTACCTGATTTAGACTGCCTCTTGCTAGGAAATTTTTTGGTTTCATGAACCGTACAAGAACAGATAGATTAGTAATGACAGTAAAAGTAAAAGCAGTAAAGTGGTAAATGTATATGTCGTTTAGAACGTTAATAATGAAACACCTCTTTATTCACTTGGAAATTTTTATTTATAATTTTCAGAATTCCAATTTTCTTGTTGTTGTAGAAGTTGGAAAAGTCAAAACATGTTACTTGACCAGCCACAAATTACCCAAGATGCTATAATCAATGATTACCATTAGAGTGAAAGAATTGTCAGGAAGTGTACCGTCTCCCAACCGTCCACACGGGCTTCCATTCTTTCCTTATGTGGCTATGACAGCATGGTGGGGGCGGGGGGGGGCACGATTCCTTAAAAGAAACTGTCTCTTTGTATTTATAGAGCTCCAAGCTGAAAGGTTATCAGAAAAGAGACGGGAAGCTTGGAGGCCTTGGACCTGACCTTGAGTCTATCAGAGACAAAATGAGTGAGATGTACATACAGCATTCTGTAGGCTTGGATATGCCCACCTGTGTATTAGCAGAACAGTACAGAAATGTCTCCCACCCACCCCCACACCAAGTCCTGATCCAAATGTCTCCCTCTGAATAGAGGCCCTTCTGAAATAGCATTAGTAATAGAGACCCAGATACTCCTTTTACTATAAGATAAAATTACCTAGCCAATGTTGTTTTATGTATCCACCTTTTAGTTCATCTTGAAGGCCTGCAGAGAAAAGGGGGCCACGTGCACATGAAAAGAGATGTGTGTGTTATATGGTCGTTGGTCTTTCCCAATAGAGTGATCTTGGTAATTTTGAAGAGTGGCTACAGAGAAGACACTTAGGATAAGAGTTTCCCAACCCCTGAAAAGTGCATCCACTTTATTTCCTTTCCTCTAGTGAAAGAAGATCTTCATTTAATGTGTTTTAACTACAGTTGCACTCAAGGCATAAAAAGAGTATAGTTCAAAGTTGGAAGCCAAAATGAAAATAAATTGGGTAAATGCAACAAAGAAGGAGCTGAATGTGATTTAGACCCTGTTAAGGGAACACTGGGTGTGCTTCGGCAATGATGTCCCCCCTCAGAGACACACTGTTTCTAGGAGAAACATTAACTGTCTCACTGCTGTTGCCTTAAGCGTGGTAATCCCATTTCCCCACTACCGCTAATACAATATGGCCAGCTCACTAAAAGGAGTGCCGCTTTTAAAGAGAGAACAGAGAGATCTAGAAGGACCTGTGTACTGTTGTAACATGGTTTGTCTGAACAGATGCAGAAATTAATCCAAAAAAAGGAATATGCAAAGCAAGTTAAGGAGTATAACATGAAGACATTATCCATTCTGTCAAAACCACAAACAGCGAAAACTGAATGTCAGTCGGCCATCCCTCGGCAGAAGGTAAGAAATCCCCACCAGGGCAGTTAGCCTCTCAATTAGAATGAAAAGGAAACCTTTGTCACCGCTTGACAAATTCCCCATGTTTTCTGAACCCAGGAGGGGTCTAAGCTACTGCCCTTCCTGTGGCTACCCATCATTCAGAGACATTGATACACAAAGAACATGAACACAAATGACGCTGTAAGGTTAGCCTGAAGTTCATCGTGGTCTTAGTCCTCCATGTGTTTTCTTCTTGTATTTCAAATCCGACACATAAAAATGAATAGTAAGGCCAGCAGACAGAAGAGATACTCAACATCACTAATCATCAGGGAAATGCAAATCAAAACCACAGTGAGATCACCTTACACCTGATCAGAATGTTTAGAATTAAAAAGACAGGAAATAAGTGTTGGTGAGGATATGGAGGAAAGAAAGAACCCTCGTGCACTGTTGGTGGGGATGTGAATGGGTGCAGCCACACTGGAAAACAGTATGGAGGTCCCCCAAAAATCAAGAATAGAATTACCAAAGGATCCAATAACGCCACTACTGATTATTTACCCAAACAATACAAAATACTAATTTGAAAAGATATATGCACACATGTTTATTGTAGCATGATTTATGATAGCCAAGATATGGAGGCAACCCAAGAATCCATCTCTAGAAGAATGGAGAAGATGTGGTGTGTACACACACACACACACACACAGAAGCTTATCACACAACCTTAAAAAGAGGAAATGGTGCCATTTGTGGCAACATGGATGGACCTAGAGGATATTACGTTAAATGAAATAAGTCAGAACAGAGAAAGACAAATACCATACAATTTCACTCATATGTGGAATCTGAAAACCAAAATGAACAAAACAAGCAGAATCCAACCTATAAATACAGAGAACAATTGATGGTGGCCAGAGGGGAGGTGGTGGGGCAATGGGCAAAACATATGAAGGGAAGAGAGAGGTAACAGGCTTCCAGTGATGGAATGAGTAAATCATGGGCATGAATGGTATAGCCCAGGGAATATGGTCAGTGATACTGTGATAACGTTGTATGGTGACAAATGGTAGCTACATTTGTGGTGAGCACAGTGTGACACAGAAGCTGAATCACTAAGTTGTACACCTGAAGCCAAAGCAACATGTGTGTCAACTATACTCAAAACATTTTAAATTGAATAGTAAGGCGATTTCTTAGAAGAATCTAGCAATCCTGATAAATCCTATCAATTTCCTTCTCTACCATTACATTTTAAAGAATTAGTGTCTTCTTGCCATTTATGGGTACAAAAGTCCTTTGTTGTTTCTTTCAAGTTCATTCCCCTACATTTTTCCCAAGGGACTGTAATATATAGATCCCTCTAGCCATGAAAAATGATTTCATAAAATACAGAATGTTCTCCCTCTCAGAGGTCATCCAACTCTAAGTCAGGATGTGAATGAAGTACTTTCAGCGGAGACACCGAGCCTCACAGTGCAAAGTCTCCATCTCAGTCCCAGGAAGAACATGGGACCCTTTGCATGAGGGACAAGTGACCCTTTGGTGCTTTTAGGAATTTGTACTTCATGTTCTCTCACACAGACCATCCTATTTTCTATTTATTGCCTTTCTCGCTGGGACCTTGAAGACCTCAGTCCACTTGATTGAGTTTCCATGGTGCCACTTTCTCTATTTTCCCCAAGCCATTATTTTTTTCCATGAAGAGATTCAAGACAACAAATCTGTAATGAGAAATTCCTACAGAAGTCACCTCTACACACACTGAGAAGTTTGGACATGTTTTTCCCTTCCAGCACCTAAATATACTACTCCTGCTTCAGCTATCAAGAAACTTACTAAAATATAAAATGGGTATCAAGACAGATTTAGAAATCATATGTAGTGATCTCATCTTTATTGTAGTGCCTTTTGGAACTGACATCACTGAAAAAAAAAAAAAAAAAAAGACTTTTTCCAGTCTCCAGGCTTTTATGGATATACTAAAGAGAAATTTCCAACCTCTAATAAATAGTTGCTAGAGATCCAAAAGCCTGGGAATAAGAAGAGTTGATGTAATAAATGGAAACTCAATTTTGTCAACTACAGTGACGTCTTTGGTCTGAAGCTGTAGCAAGTCCACTCTGAATGGAAAGGTCTGTTAATATCTCCTTAACAGAGGCTTGGTTTTAATAAGACCACTAGAAGCTAAATAGAGCCCACACATGAGAAATGTATTTTCAAACACTTGAATAAAACCTCGTTTTAGAAAAAAAACACCTGAAGGCACAGCTCGGTTTCATTTTCTAGCTCTTGTCCATTGCATACTCATGTGGCTAACTTACTTTGTTGAAACTGTGCGTTAGAGAGCAGGACTCGCATTTCCCATCCACTCTCCCTTCCCATCCGCATCTTCTCACCTTATGGTAGCAATGTGTCTCTCCGTTCTGCCAGTGAACATGTCCTAAGACTTGATTTCATTTAAGGAATGCAGGGCTCACTATCCATTTCACATAAAATGTTCTCTTTACGCTTTTAGGCTCTGGAATACGCCAAGACCATCCCCAAACCCAAACCTTCAAACCTGATGGACAACGTATCCAAAGAAAAGAAAAATCCCATGTACACTCGAAAAGACGACACTCTGCCTGAAATCTCACTGCTGGAGAGACTGCAGAACAGACACGAGAGGGAAAAACAGGCTGTGGCGGCTTTCAAAGTCCTTCACATTGTTTAGACAACACATTTGTCGGAGACCAAAAATGCCCGGGGACTGGACTTGGAGAAAAAAACTCCAACCACCTCTCTGTGTAGAGAGTGGACCTTCTGTCCTCCAGCTGCAGTCCACGTTTGCTTTGTACAGGATTTAAAACATGAGGCCTTATTAACTTTACAGAGCTGTGTTTTACTTTCTAGGAAGGTTATTATTTTTTATTTTCAAATCAAAATTTTGGGTAGAATAAGAACTAAGGAACAAAGCTTTTTTAGTTTCATAGCGGATCTTTTAATTTCTCACAATATCTCTACCCTTCCTTGTAAAATGAAACCTTGAAGTGACCCAGCAAAAAATTATCTAACTTCTGCTTCTCTCTTAACTTCCCGATAAGGAAAGAAAAAAGTATAGAAACACTTCAGTTTTGAATAAAATGAATGTAAATTGGACTAACTGCCAGGACATTTGGAGATAGTTTCCCAAATAGTTCTAAAGTCTCTAAATTAAAAAAACAAAAACAAAATAAAATACCCCAATGTCCTAACAGAGCATCGTGACATAAATTAGAAATCCAACAAGTCCATAAACATCCATTCCGACAACTCTGAGCGATATATTTTCTCAAAGTTACTTGCTCCAAGTGTGTGAATATACCAGGCATCTTGCCATCAAAACATCTTAAAATGTTACATCTGTGCTTACACGCTTACACACACACACACACACACACACACGTACGTTAGGTAAGAGAAAGCATTCCACATTTTACTGCTGAGTGTCACTATTAATAAATATTATCTACTTTTGTCTTTTGAAACTGAATACACATTATCAATACACATTATCACATTATCAAGGAATAAAAATTATCAGGTCTTAAAATAAATATGGAAGAATTCAATTTTTTCTTACTTGCTTGTATTAGATGGGCATTGGATTCTTTGACAGCCATATCCAGAAATGGGCAATTTTAACACTAATTTAGGGGAAAAACTCTTTATCTATACAGGTGGCATAAGAAATAGCTTTGGAGAGTTATTCCTTTGTTATAAACATTTTACATAAACCATGATGTGGTATATAAAAGCTACCTGTACGTGATTTTCTCTTAAAACTGAAAGCAATTAGAATTGAAAGTCTGGAAAAATTAAACATATATGAAGATAAATAATAAGCTGACAAATCATGTTTTGGTGGTAAGTTGAAAATCATATATGAAGCATTAGGTGGGAAAAATCGTATCTCAAATGACTCCTAAGATATTTGTAAAAGAAGAGGACCCTTCATGGTACATGGTGAAGACTTTTCTAGAAGCTTAAGAATTAATTTCTTTTTCCAAATGGCCTTAAATTTAAACTTAACTCTGGAAGATTAAATAATCCATATAGAGACATTTCCAAATTTAAAGGGACAGAGCAACTTTTTAAAATATTCCACTTCTATGAGAATATTTTAAAAGTATTTTAGGGGCACCTGGGTGGCTCAGTGGGTTAAGCTTCTGCCTTTGGCTCAGGTCATGATCTCAGGGTCCTGGGATCAAGCCCTGCATTGGCCTCTCTGCTCAGCAGGGAACCTGTTTCCCCCTCTCTCTCTACCTGCCTCTCTGCCTACTTGTGATCTCTCTCTCTCTCTCTCTCTCTCTCTCTCTCTCTGTTAAATAAACAAATGAAATCTTTAAACAACAAAAAAGGTATTTTTAAAAGAGCTTAGAATGGGCTTATCTTATTCACATACTAATTTTTCAGAAGAGGAAATGGAGATTAGGTTAGGATAAATGACTCTTGACATATGTCAGTCCTACTGATAACAGCAGACGGAGTACAGTCTAAACTTCAGCCAATACCAAGGACAGTGCTATTTGATTATTTCTAGGAAGGGGTTGTTCTTGTTTTCTGTGTGGGCAAGGAGCATATAATTATTATGAACTTCAGTTTTGGACATGAACTCCCACTGTTTCATTTCTAGAAATACTCATTATTACATACCTGATCATATTTTAACACATATAATCTAGCAACTTCATAACTATGTTGTTAAAGTTGAAAGAGACACATAAATTAACTCAGATGTTGACTCATAAGAGACACTATTTTATTTTTGAACATTTAAAACCCTCCTCCAACCATTTCTCTGGTAGCTAAGCACTGTTAAATCCTTCAATCCCTTCACTCACTATGGAGAATCACACTTAGCTGAAGCAGGTGGCACAATTCAGTCTACATCAAACATTTCACAGAATCTTTACTTCGAAGGCAAGTCTATACCTCCAGCATGTAAGCCCTAGAACATCACAATTCTTTGTACACAGATATTGAAAGTGATGAGTGGCATCTAAAAGGGCTATTCCTACAGAAATAGAACATGTTTGCTAGAAGCTGGGGGTTGAGATCAAAGAATGAACCAAGGGGCACCTGGGTAGCTCAGTGGGTTAAGCCTCTGCCTTCAGCTCAGGTCATGATCTCAGGGTCCTGGGATCTAGCCCCACATCGGGCTCTCTGCTCAGCAGGGAGCCTGCTTCCCCTCTCTCTCTCTGCCTACTTGTGATCTCTGTCAAGTAAATAAATAAAATCTTAAAAAAAAAAAAAAAAAGAATGAACCAAAACAGGCCATTGTCTGAGCCCACCTGGTAAGATCTAGCAGATCACTAAGCCATCATGATACTAAGCGTAAGATTCTGCAGAAACAGTGAACGACACATACTTCTTTGCTCCTCCTTGAAATTAAGGCAACAACACTGATCTTCTGCAGACCCAAGTGGATCAATGATCAATTTTTACAGAACTTCTGCTTCAGATATTAAGAAGTAAAAACAATCTGCCTATTAGAAAGCAAGGACTTTAAACTCGAGTGACAGAATAAGGGTGGGCTTGTATTTGACCAGATGTTATATAGGCCCACTGAAAGACACACAGCTTAATCTGCCTAATCTCTATGAAATGGTGTAAATAAAGGACCTTTAAACCACATATTCTCTCTTATTATAGACTCCTCTTCATGGTGTTTTTCCATCTTGAATTTCTAAGGACAGCATCCTGTTAAGAGGAAGCTTTGTTCCAAGTAGCTGAATTTCATGACAGCTGTCTTCATGATATTGTTTTGTATATTAAGGAGTCTCTTGGGAGTTATCCAGAAACCAGCCCAAGAAAAGACAATATTGAGAAACAAAATAAAAGGTAAGTCTAGCAAAACACCAATGCCTAATGGTTCCAATTGGGGCCCTATTATTGGTTAATGAATCATTGTTAAAACCTCCCAGCAAGCATGAGTGTGCAGTCTAGTCTATAGTGAGAAAATGACTCTCCATCCCAACAGTTATTAGCTGGGAGTTGTTTGAAAACACATCCAGTAATTATTACAACACTGGAGCTAATTGAAAACTTTGAGTTGATAGCAAATGGTCTACAATAGCAAACTTGGGGGGGTCTTTTTTAATTACTTATTGACAAACAGCACACATTATCAATAGAATCTGGGTCATAGTCTGAAGATCTCAGGACACATTTAGCTAATTATCTCCAAAATATTCTTGAAAATATAGATTACTATCATATTCAAAGTAGTGCTTGAAAATTTAAAATTCTTACAGAAAAAAAAATCAGTTACTCATCTAAATATGCCTTTTTAAGATTAACTTTATTAGAGCAAGAATAAATCCTGATGAATAATACACATTTCATCCAGCTTTCAAGTATTCATCAGATGATAACAGGACTTCTCTTCCCTAACTCTAAGTGTGCTTTCATAATTTCTATTCCTAAGGTAAAGAGACAAAAAGATACACAAATACTCCATTTGCCTCTAGTTGTTTTCCCAGTAAGGCAAGGGTTTCAAACAACACAAATAAAATTGTTAATTATTGTGGATTTTGTTCATCCAGAGTGTCTCACTCCCCTTTTATCCCTGACTCTAAGGAGTTGTCTATATTGTCAGATGAAATCTGTATGCTATAAAGGTAATATAAAAGAGAAATATTATAATAATTTTGTGTAGATATTCCACTCTTAAAAATAGACTAAAGCAGGAATCCAGAGTAGCTAAAATCTAATATTCAAAATCAAATTTAAAAAAAAAAAAATTTTGTGCCCTTGGGGTGCCTGATTGGCTCAGTCAGTAGAACATGCAACTCTTGATCTCGAGGTCATGAGTTCAAGCCCCACATTAGGCCTACAGCTTACTTAATACAGATCCAAAACAGTCCCCTCACCCCACTGCCTCCAGGCTAAGTACAATATTTGTTCCTCCTGCTCCTCTTTGTTGAGCAAAACCATACAGCTTTTCACAAAGGTACTAAGAAAACATATCTCCATTTTCTAGCCAAATATCTGGTCAATGGAAAGCAAAAGGTTTTGGGTGGCAAAGTTTTTATTCATTGATTAAGTTTATTCCCTCATCTTAAAAATTCCATTCTTTTATCTTTGGTTACTAAGTTTCAGTTCAGTGAAATAACCGGAATGTTAGGGCCTTCCCAAAATGTTGTGGAAACATCACATTTCAAGATGAAGATGCAAAGTAAATAGATTTTTCAGTTCTCTCTACCCCTCAATACAGGGAAGGCTCTTTGGGTAATATAAAGGGAGGAAAAAAAGAATTTGGTGGGCAGGACTAATCTCCCTTGCTGCCTCTCCGCTGCCTTTTCATTTTCCCTGGCAAACCTGAGCAATGTAAGTAATTAATTTTCAATAAACTGAGAAAACGGTCTTCCATCCTTAAATAACTCTAATAGGTTGAGAGGATTACAATGATATGAACATTTCAGACAAATATATTTAGTGAAGACCTGGAGATATGGGATGATTTCATAAATATTCTTTACTGAGTTGACAGCTCGTCCCTGAGACCAGCCCCAATGCTGGGACTGCTAGACCGGTTTCTCAAGGTCCCATGCTTTAGCAAAAGATATTTAAATAGTAGATATCCGTATGATGCCAATTAAACAGTGGGGAAAATAATCTTCAGATATTTAAAATTCTAAAAGTGTGATCAGTTATTCCTTCAGAAGCTGTCTACATAGACGGAACTAGATA